CTGATTATTTCACTTAATATTGTGTTCTCAATATGCCCCCACTTTCCTACAGATGACTCAAGTGTATCTTTCTTTACGACAAAGCAGTGCTCCATGTGCACAAAAGCATTCTCTTTGTCCCCTCATCTGTTGATGGACATGTAGGCCATTTCCAAGAGTTAGCTGTGAAGAAGTGTGCTGCTGTACCCATGGGTATACGCATACTGTTGTAGTCTGACATGTTTATCTCTTTTGGGAAGATACCTAGAAGGGGAATCACTGGGTCAAATAGAAACTCTAATTTTTTTGTTTTGTTTTTTAGGGATCTTGGGAATTGCACCGGGCCTTGTGCTTATGTCCCTGGGCCATATTCCTGGCCCTTAGCTTTAGTTTTTGAGGAGTCACAATTATGAGCTCCATAGTGATTATGTACTACCAGTTTGTATTCCCCTGACTACACAGAAGGCTTCCTTTTCCCCACAGCCTCAGCAGCATTTGTTGTTTGACTTCTTTGATGGTCATTCTTTTGGATCCATCCATTTCAAGCAAATAATTTTTATTGCTCAACCTTGGTTTCTGAGCTCCTCACCACCATCAGGGGAGGCACAGCATGACTGTGCCAGACAGTAGTCACGCATCTCACGGTTTACTATACCTAACTGCTGCCTCTGCTTTCTATTATCTACTTTTCATTTCACTCTTTACTTATAATTTGAAGTTCTCATATAAAAGAAACCATGTGATATTTAAGTTTATATGTGTTATTTATTTCATTTAATATTATGGTCTCAAGGTGCCATCATTTTCCTACAAATGATTCATTTTTCCTTCTTTACTGCAGAGTAGTATTCCATTTCGTGTAAATACCACATTTTCTTTATCCATTCATCTGTTGAAGTACATACAGACTTATTTCAAGATTTAGCTATTATGAACTGCGATGCAATAAACCTAGAAGGGAATAGCTGAATCAAGTGGAAATTCTAGTTTTAGATTCTGAAAATCTTCATACTGATTTCCATAGTAATTATACTAGATTACATCCCCACCAACAGTGTAGAAGATTTCCTTTTCTGTACTTTTCTTGCAGCAAAAGAAGCCGCCAACAGAGTGAAAAAAAAAACTCTCCAGAATGGGAAAAAAAATTGCCAGCCATTTCTGGGATAGAATGTATTTAGAATATATAAAGTACTAAAAGTAAATAAATAAACAAATAAATAGATAAACCTCCCTAAATAAAAAACCTAATCAAAAATGGATCAGCAAACCAAAAAGACACTTCACAGAAGGAGAGTACAAATGGTCAGTAAATATGTGAAGTAATGGTCAGCATTGATGGCCATTAGAGAAATACATATTGAAACAACCTTTATCTCAAACAGAATAGCAACAACCAAGAAATCACAGAATAACAAGTTCTGGCCAGACTGTGAGAAGCCACTCTGGGAGACACTTGTTTTGGCCAAGGGTTCCTCCCTGATGAGTCTGCCTGCAGCCTTTCTGAGTGACCCCGCAGCCATGCTCAGCCAGGTTGAGGAGGTGCCCCGCCCCTCCCATGAAGATCAGGAAGTCCACATTAAAGCCCACCTTTAATTATTTAAACGCTAAGCAATCGACCTTCCCATAACCTTACTGGATGCAGCCTGTGCACTTCTCCCCTTTGCCAGCATTAAGTACTATTAAGCCTGGTTCAGTGGATATATTTTTAACTGCTCACGATTTCTAGCTCAAGCAGAGCAGGCTGAGCTGGTAACGTCAAAGGCCACTGGCACCAAAGCAGCTGGAAAGCAGGGCTGGTGGACAGCAGCGGAGAATCGCCAAGAGCCATCATTGGGAGAGCTCCCAAGGCCCACTGATAGCTGCTGGCTCTGGCTGCCAGGACAGTGACTGAGGGTCACTAACACTAACGGCAGACAATCTGAGAGCATCGAAAGCTCTGACTATTAACACTGTGAAAGTTACAGTTGCCAGGCATGGTTGTGCACCCCTATAACCTCAGCTTCTTGAGAGACTGAGACAGGAGGACCTCAAGGTCAGCCTGAGTAACTTAGTAAAATTCTATCTCAGAAACTAAAGTGAGCCAGGGATGTGGTTCCGGAGAAGTGTATTAGCCTGGCATATATAAGGGTCTTGGTTTATCTCTAGTACTACAAAAGAAAGAAAAAAACTATACCTGTTCTGATTACTATGCAGATTGACAAAACACCCCTCAGCCTATTGGTGATACCTTGTCTCAAAAAATAAAAATTTCTGTGCATGAGGAGGCAGTAAGGGAGTAGGGAGCCTGTATGGAGGGCTATTTTAAACCCCAGTATGAATTTCTATACTTCAGTTTCTTTTAGAAGCCACGCGTGTATTTAATATTAAAAATAACATGAAGAGACTCAGCTACGTTTCACTTTATGGAACATGGATGCAGTGTGAGTTCCTGTTAAGAGTTAACTTTTCACATATAACCATGACAACATAAGATAATGCCTAACAAATCGATACTATGGCAGATCACTCAGATGGACTTATCAGCCATTGCTCATGCCTGTCCTAAAGGTCACAACTCTGACCTTTTGTACTGAAACATGTGTTGGAAAAGTTCACACAGTACCCCTTTGGGCCAAGCAGCAGCACTGGACTTGTGTTTGGTGTCAGATTCTGAAATCAAACAGAGAAACTGACTTTTCGGCATGAACCGTGCCTGCTCATTCCTTGAGTCCAAATCCTGAGTGTGAATATCACCAAGCTCCCTTCCTTCCCCCTGTGCCTCTCCAGAGGGTGTTCCACTTCCTGCTGAGGGTCTGAAGGCACAATTAATTGTTGAACAAATAAAGAGTTAGTCACTACCCAAATGTTTAGAGTCTCGAGTGACCAGGACATTCCAGAAGAATGACGGTCATTCATGGTTTCCCCCTCTCTAGATAGGAAAGAAAATGCTTAAGTTTTCCATCCAAGCTACATTTTCAAAAGAAACCTGCAGTGTGGCCCACAATATCCTTTCCTTTCCTCTGCTCACTCAGATTACACAGATGGACAACTCCAGCAGCTGGTCTGAAAAGTCTAGAATATTAGGGCTGTCCTGCTCGGGCGGAACCAAATGCCATGATGGTAACTTCTAGGAGAAAAATGCATAGTCTCTGAATAAAGAAAAATCTACCTGGTTCCCAGAGAGAAGCTCCCTACTTTTGAGTGGCACTTTTTGTTTAATCTTCTATATTCCCAGAGCCTCTGTCTTCCTAGCTTCTTGTCAAAAGCTGGGAGTATGAAAAAGGACCATGTCCCTGCTAGCGTGTCAGAAAACAACCATCAGAGAGGTGAGAACAGTCCTTAGGTGCCAGCAGCGGGAGCCCAGCTGGCCCTGCCTGTCCTTCCTCCTGCCTGTCCTCATATGTGACTTTTCTCCCAAAGGCAAATACACATATTATTTTGTAGTGAGAATAGTCTTATTTTTGTTGTTGCTCAGAAGGAAATAGCCATTTCAAACACAGAGCTACTCCACTGTTTATATTGGAAAGAATGGTTCCGTTTGTTTCCATAAGGGAAAATCTATTAGCGGGACCACAGTGTGGATATCCAGCAACACAGTGTTGATTTAAGCTGTCAGCTCTGCCCTTACAGCAGAATGGCCTCACAAAACTCACTTAGCCTCGCTGAGCCAGCGTCTTTGTCCGTAGAAGAGGTTGATACCTTCCTCACGGTGGTGATTTGCACTGAAAGGGCTCCTCTACGCTTGGTGTATCATGTGTGCTCAAGTATCATTTCCAGTTCTTTCTTACTGTCTCCAGAGCTGCTAAGTGGACTTACAGGGGAACAGCAGACACCAACCTCACAGATCTCAGAACCTCCAGGTCCCTCTGCTATGACTCCTGAGCCCACCCACAGCTTCCCTGCTCCACGCCCCAGAGGCCGGCGGAGTTCAGTGTCCTGCTCCGCTGAGGCAGGTCTCATCACGATTATAAGTCACTTGCTTTTTATTTTGCAAACACTGGATTTTCTAAAAACTTCCACTGTACATTTACCTGCTCCCTACAATAAATATATTCATTGTGCATTACAAAGATATATTAATAAAAGGTGTATTTAGATTTTGTCTGTTATCTGATTCTGACCTCTAGACTCTCAAAGGGAAGCCTGAAAGGCTTGGGGTTCTGCTCCTCGCCCTGCAGCTGTGGCGTCACTGCCTGCTGATATCAGGCAGTCCGGGCATGGCAGAGACCTTCCTAAGTGCTGAATTAATGAGTCAGTTAATACTTGAATCATGCTTCTGCAAACTGGCAAATTTCCCAAGAAGGGGGCCTTGTACTGTCTTCTATGACCTCCAATTGCTCTTCAGCCTTTCCTCTCTGCCTCCAGTGAAAAATCAGTCTCTGCCCTCCTCCTGCACCCCATGCCGACCTGCCTTTCCCCTAAACCTCTGTCAGCACTGAAGGTTTTACTCCTATATGGAAGACAAAGTTGAACAAGTTTATTAGGAAAACCACTTTTGCTAATTCCATGACATCACAGAGGGAAGAACTTAAAAATCAATTACTTGAGTAGGAAGTAAAGAAATACAGCTATCAGGCAAGAAAATACTATTCTAATAAAAAATAAAACAAAACGAATATTTATTCTGATTTATTCTGATTATTCTGCAGGTCTGAGCTCAATAATACCCAACTAGCCCACCAGATTATTTTCTTATTGAGGGAAACAGCTCCTTTGGATAAGCCTGCATTCCTCACTTTCAGTGGAAAAGACCAAAGACAAGCTCTAGAGGCCATTAAGTACTTCGAGAATGATTTTAACAGGGATTAATCTAATTATATAAGTGATTTATAAGAAGCCCAGAGGAATATTTCTTTATTTAGACAGAGGCATTGTCGGATTAAAGGTGCAGTGGTTCCAAACTGTTTTTTCCAGCCCTCTCTTCGATCGCAGCAGGGTGTCTTGTCTGTGCTGGTGGAATATTAACAGAGGTTATTGGTCTCCATGGCAAAACAATTGAGTGATTGCCCTGAACGTAATGCGCCGAACGTAATCTCATTTATGGGGGTGCAAAAAATATAAATGCCCATTGCCATGAAGGGTTCGCTGCAGTTGAGAGGCTAAAGCAACTCCCAAAGATCTGGATCTCAGTTCCAAAATACTGACTGAATTGGGAAGAATCACCGGCACACTCCAGCCAAAGCCTTAAGGAGACCCGTGAGGACAACTCGGAGCGGTGTAAAACCCTGCGGGCCCAGCATGTGCTGCGGAAGCTGTGCCAAGTGCCTGGGGGGCACCCTCATCCCCCTGGCTGTGTTTGGCTTCCTGGCTAACATCCTGCTGTTTTTCCCTGGAGGAAAAGTCATCGATGACAACAACAACCTGTCTGATGAGATCTGGTATTTCGGAGGAATATTAGGAAGTGGAGTCTTGGTAAGTAGGGAGAACTTCAAACCCCCCTAACGCAGAGTTTCCCCCTTCTCTTAGCCCTTTAAAATCAGGTACTCAGTGGGGAGACCCACGATATATTTGAGCTAATCAAAGCGTAGGCACTGCATGAGGAAAAGCAGCCCTGTAGCTCCTCTCTGCTCAGAGCTGATAAGTGCCTATCAATTTACTAGGCAACTAACTAATCCCCAAACTAAGGCTGGCATATGGGACACTCCAGTCCTGTGAACCAAATTTAAGGCCGTGTTATTGCTTCATTGCACAAGAAAACCAAAAGAATTTTAAACATAAAAGGCAACAATTTCAAGAAAATGTGTTGACTTAAAGCCACACACCAACACACTTGTCAGAGACGCCTTCTCCCACTGGGCTGGGTGATTTTGTTCTCCTGGCTGCCGAGAGCATTGGGAACCTCTGGGGTAGGGTGTAGGGGGTCTACATTTCATGACAGGACAACTTTCTTAATCTTGTGCTAACCCTCTATCTAAATGGAAAAGCAATGTATCCGTTTTTGCAGTCCTGCCTCATTGAAGGTGGTATCACTCAGGCCACATAGCACCCCAGTCCTCAAGGACACCTGTTCTCCCATGAGCAGGCTGTGGGTCTCTGTCGTCCCCTTTGTCATCCCTGCATGGTACAGGAGGCTGCTCGCCTGCGGGGCAGCCTGGGGCCTGCGGGGCAGCCTGGGTCCTCTTGGGTTGGGCCCCTGACCTCTGAGGTGCCTCTCTTCCCGGCAGATGATCTTCCCCGCGGTGGTGTTCTTGGGCCTGAAGAACAATGACTGCTGCGGGTGCTGCGGTAACCAGAGCTGCGGGAAGCGATTCGCGGTGAGTGACCACCAGGGCAGCCACCAGAATCACTGCAAACGCTGGTCTGCTTGTGCTGGGCAGCTTAGGGATAGAGACAATTGACCAGTCTTAGCCAAGATGCTAGGGGCAGCTGGTGCAGGAGGGAAGCTCACTTCTTCCCTGGGCACAAAAGAGCAGCAGTGATAGATGTCCTTGAGTGCCACCGGCCTCAGACCCATGGGCCAGGAGTACCGCTGCGGGGTCTACAGGCAACCAGGGATGTCAGGCCGGAGAACTGGAGCGGTGGGTGCCACATGAAGAATGCAGACGTGGGGGGCAGAACCAGAGCTGGAGCTCTCCTCCTGCTGTGAGGGTCATGAGACCAAGGACAGGGGACTCTTCTGGCTCTGCTCAGCCCCTGCCCAGGGCACTTAGAGCAGGACAGAGGCGATAACTTCCCCCATGACGCCCTGAACTCCTGACTCTGCCCCCATCAACCTCCCTGTCTCTGAGGCCCAACAGGGCCCATCCCTGTGTGTCCAAGGCTCTGAGGTAGGTTCGGCTTTCTCTCTTGCTTCAGGTCTTGTTTCTCTTCGTAGGAGAGCCAGGAAGTATTTCCTGTGGCCTCCAGCTTTGTAAATAAGGCATCTATTTTGGGGGACAGAGAAAAGCAGGCTGGGAAGAGGGGTCAGTCCCATTCTTTTAAATGGGGAGTCACCATACTGCCCTGGCGCCTGTGCTCACGGCACAATGAGGGAGTTGATGGATCGGGGTTCCCTAAGCCCAGGGCAAGGCCCGTGCTGCACAGAAATGCTGCATCTTCTATCACAGACCGCGAATCCCTTTTCACTTCTCCTTCAGTTCTTTTAATTCTTTTTTTTTATTTTAAAGAGATTAAAACAAATATAACAACAATATAGGATTTCAAAACAAATGATAGAAAATTAACAATGGCCACTATATCTCATCCTATTGATTCTTTCAAGGAAAAAAATCTTATTTTGATGAACATAAGTCCTCCTCATTTCTAACCCTTCACAATCTCCTTCTGTAACAAAGGAATAAATTTTCAGGCTCCAGCAGTTTTGGCAACATTATTTAACTGAAATTTAGTAATATTGTGTTTATGTTTGCTAATGTTGTAGTTTTTTTCATAATAGTGGTAAAAAATTAGAGAATTTGTTTAAAGAGACATATCAAGCATTCATACAGCAAAAATAAAATAAAATAAAGACAATAAGCTGGGGTGGATGCTACAGAAGACCAGCTCCTGCTCCAGCCTTGGGGCTGTTTTCCATCTGAGAGACTCAAGTTCCAATAGTAAACTATGCACATGTACTTTAACTTCTTTAAAGTATATTTTTGCTGTTCTGAAACAGAATCATCTTAGCATTTCTTCTTCATCATTAAATGTTCATTTAGTCAATCAAAAACATTTATTGAGCATATTATAAAGGGCTGAGGCTGGTGCACTGTGTGTGTCACAATATTAGAGGTTTCCATATAAGATCACTTACCTTTCAAAAGCAGTGTTTTCACTTTGCATGCTCTATCATGAGTCCTAAATAAGCACTGACAACTTTTCTTTTAACAATTAGGATTATGGTTCACCATGAGTATAAGAGATAACCACAATTTACTTGACATAATTATCCAATATATGTTATGTATGATAGATACTTCCATATAACTAATTGTAAAGGAGAGGAAGAAAGAAATAAGTCATTTCTTTTTTAAATAAAATCCCACTACTCCTTGTGAATTTTTGGAAAATAAGTTGGAGGTCAGAGTTTGAAAAACCAAGTTTACCAGTTAAGGAAGATGGATGAAAAGAAAGAAAAATTACGGCTTAGAAAACTAACAGTTCATTCTTGGGGCTGAGCAAATGGCCACTGCCTGACTAGTATAAAATAAAGGGTGTTGTCTGTTTTCAGGTTTCTCTGTAACCATAAAGAAACATGAAATAACGATCAACATATTAAGCAAAACTTTTTTAAAATTAGATTTCAGCGGTATCCAAGGAGAAGGCTAAAAAGTCATGTTTTCTGCAAGCACAGCTGAGCCAGGATGACCTGAAATATTGGACCTGACCACTAAACTTTGTTGACTAAACTTGCCAGCCTTCTTGGTGGGATCCGCCTTGGAAGGAGCTGAGGATAAAACCTCCAAATGCATGAGCAGGGCCCAACCAAGAACCAGCTGCACCAGCCTGTAAAGCGAATCCAGGGCTAGGTTGCCGGGGTTTAGCACATGCTGGCGAGCTGGCACAAAAGTTCTTTGGTTTTGTTTTGTTTGTATTTTAGTCAACTATCAACTTTTAAAATTTGAGAGATAGTACAAAAATGACCTAGATCTTTGACTTTTTTTCTTCTCCCCATAATAAATGACATGCTTAGACCCAGCAAGAGCCTGGCCTGTGTTGGGCGTGGCTGAGCTCAGGGACCCTCAGAGGCTGCTCCAGCTGCTCAGGTCCCAGCCCTGCCCCTGCCCCTGAGGCCATAGTTCACTGCCTGCTTCAGCGAGCGGAGTCCCTTCTAGTGCCAAAGCTATGAAGCATTAAGAGAAGGTATTTACAGACATTTGGTCAGAGGAAAAGAAAACACTGCAGCATAGTTGGGTTAGGACTAGAATGCTAAAGAAATGTTCAGGTCATTCTCTTTGGAGCTAAGGGACTCCAGGCTTTTGTGGTGCTCTGCTCAATGGGCCCTACACGGTAGAGAAACTATGGGTGAGCACACACGGAGGGAATAAAGGGCTGCCAGGCCTTACTTATGGACTGCCTTGCTCTCTGTCACTTGTTTCCTCCCCCTTTCCCTTTCCTGGTTGTACATCTTTCTGGAACATTCTGGCTTTCTTGGGTAGTAAAATCAGGATGTAGGAGATAGGAGAGGCCAGATGCGGTGGCTCCCGCTTTAAAAGGACACAGTGAGCTGAGAAGAATGTGGAGAGCACCTGATCCGTGGTTTCATGGTGAGCCTGAGAGAGTGAAGCAAGTATAGTGCAAGTGAGGTGACTTTCAGGGTGGGCTTTGAAAACCCTGAGGTGGCTGTGTCTGCAGGAGTCCTACACTGGGGAATCTGAGCAACCTCTTTCCTTCCCACTTACCCTCAGAAAGATGGATCTCAGGGAGTGTAGCTCCCATAGAGTATTTGTATAGCACATAGGAAGCCCCGGTTCAATCTCTAGCATGGCAAGAAAGAAAAGAGAGAGAGAGAGAGAGAGAGAGAGAGAGAGAGAGAGAGAGAAAAGAAGGAAGTAAGAAAGGAGATAAAAAGCTCTCAAGAGCCCAAAAGGACAGCTAACTAATTTTATCAATTTATTCATGTTAAAATATATCCCTTAATAAGGCATTTATGGAGACTTTGCTCAAAAGGAGTGCCTTTAATAACGGGACAGAAAGTAGATTGATAAAGGAGATATTTGCAGGCAGGCATTTCAACATCCTTCACGCATATCAGGTAGATAAACTCCACCCACCCCGGCTACAATCACCCCGCAACACACATGGGCAGGTCTAGATAGCTGATCTGAAGTCAGTGTGTTGCAGGCAGCGCTGCTTCCCGTGCCCAGCTCACTAGTGCCCCCTAGAGACAGCTCCGAGGTGAGCACTTCCAGAGAGCCCCTCATAGGTTCTGGAGGCCAAAAAGCATTGGCTCGGTTATTTACTTATTTATTATTTCCTTGGGAAATCATCCAGTTTAAGAGAGGTCATTTTAAAAAGAAAGTTTTTTATTTTTCTTTCTTTTTTTACGGGGGAGACAAGATCTAAGTGACTTTATTTAATTCCCAGCTGGGCCCCAACTTGTGATCCTCCTGCTTCAGCCACCCAGTCCAGAGTGCCGGGTTACAGGCTGCTCTATCATGTCAGGCAAGAAAGGCAATTTTTTTTTAAAGCGGAGATTTTCTTGAAGAGGAAATTAACATGTGGGACTATATTTCTTCACCAATTTCTATGCTGTGAATGGAACTTGAGCCCTGGTATCTTTCCTAAGGACATTGCAAGGGTCAGGGGCAGCAGCCGCCTTAGTGTGAAGGGAGAGGCAAGAAACAGCAGCTAAATGCCAAGGAACTGGGGATGCGTAGGCCCTTGAGAGGCCTTTGTTGGATGAATGAGTATCCAGGAGGCGTTTGGGGGATTTCCATACTTTATCAGGCTCAGTTCTCCCAATAACCCTTCCAGTTAGGCTTTAAGCTTCTCATTTTGTAAATGAAGGAACTGAGGCCCATGCAAATGAGTTCCTTCACTGCACCTCTACTGCCCTCTCTGCCCTGAGCTTCCCCACTTCCCCTCTCTTTCAGCTTCCTTCCATTGCCCTCTCCACTTGTTTGCCTAATATAAGCGTATAGTGGCCAAAAACACACCACAGACTGATGGAGCTGGGACTGATGCCCTCAGCTCCCCTTGGACAGGGAAGGCTCTGACTATGGAATTTTCCTGTCTTCCATTTCGGGGAAAGCATTTACAGCATTGAACAGTGTGAACAGAATGTGAACTGAAAAGCCTTAAAATACTAGCTCTGTACCTGTATTTTTCTCCCCCTAGTTTTGCTCTCTACATTTGTGGAAAGTAAGAGCATGTGAGAGTGTGAAAGTGAAATCATCATAAGGTGATAGTGACACTGATCACATGCTTGTTCATGTCAGGAGAAATTACCCAAACTTGGAGAATAGGGAGAAGAGATTCCTGTGTCCTCTCAGCTAAGCACAGGTCATTCATTATCCTGTAGTCTACTCCCCAAGGGGCAGGGCTATTTGGTTTTTAGAGGGTGTACTTTATTCTTAGTTACTATTGATCAGGTTCTCTTACATACATTAGCTCCGTGAGACAAGCACTGATTACTGAACTTTATTTTACAGAGGAAGAAATAGAGACAAAAGCATTAACTTGCCAAGCTCATGTGTGGAGAACCAGAACTCAGACCCAGCCCTGTCTTTCTGTAATTCATGTCCTTGACCATGTCACAATAGTCTCTCTTTACTCTTAATTTTAAGTAGGTAAATCATGCCTCTAATACAAAGTCTATAAAGAGAACTCCCAT